AGCTGAGGGGCAAGAACAGCTTTTAAATGTACCTGGTGAAGGGGAGGGAAATAATGGTCTGAAAAATAAGCCTGTTAATAGTTAAGGGGGTTTTTAAATACTGTTGATTCTCCAGTGGCTGAGATACTAAAGTGCTTTTTTAAATCTTGTCTTGAACATGAAAAATAAAGAAGAGAAGTTTGGACAATTCGGAAGTGAGGAAGATCCTGTAATAACTCTTACTAAAGAGGTTATTTTGGAACCTTGGTCACATTCAGACCAGCCCATCGAGGTTGCAGGGGTATTGGCACTGACACACTTGCACAAAATTGCTGAGAACTGGGGACAGGCCAGGATCAGTTTAAGAAAATAAAGCAAATACAAGAGAACAAACAGGAAAACCCTGTTTCCTGAAAAAAAATATAGTTTCTGTTTTCACTGTGAGAATTTATGAAACCAGCCCTCAGGTTCTGCTGGTCTGAGGTGTCACTTGCAGAAAGAACAAGAGTGTGTCACAGGATCTGAAGGTCTCAGGGTAGGAGGATTGCAGGCAGCAGGTGCTCTTGTGGGAGCAGGTAGAGAGTTAATCTCATCAGAGCGATGTGTTCTGGTTAAATGACACAGTTTAATGAAAGTGAAATGGCTCATGTGACGCCAAAGGGCTGTAAGGTTTTGATCTTTCAATTGTGAAGCGTTTTCAAACCTTGCAATCAGCAAGAATGAAGGCTGGAACCTCTGAGGTACCTGCCAGGGCCTCCTCTTGTGACTGTATAAAACCTGTGAACTGAGCCTTGGAGTAAAATGTGGGAGCCTCTGCCAAGGGGGATGGGCTGTTAGAGCTCCCTCAGGATCAGCTCCCTTGGAATTCTGCTATTCCATAAGCTGGCATGAATCACACGAGACACAGCCTTTCAGACTGGACCTAATTAAGCCTCCTGCTTAATTCTGTATGGGCTGACACGGGGAAGAGCTGCTGAAAATGTGTAGCTGTCGCTTGGGCAGGGCCATGAAAAGATGTACAACATAAATCTGTGTCATCCTGGTTCTGAACCCAGGATGCTGCCAAGGCCAGCGTTTGTCAGGGTGCAAAATGAAAAGCCCAGGGCTGAGGGAGCAAAGAATCCAGTTGGTGTTTAAAGCAGGGGAACAGAAAGCTTAGGCCAGAATGAAAAACCACTCTGGAAGGCACGGACAGAGCTGAGTCAGAGATGAGTAAAAAATTGCAGGTCCTTTAGTGTGGCCCAGAAAACTAATAAGGGGCCCAGGGAAGACCTGACAGAGCCCCTGGGGCCAGAGCTTGAAAGGATCCCTGTGAGGAAGGAAGGACAGAGGGTCCAGAGCCGGTGTTCCCTCATGGAAACCCCACAGAGCCCAGAGCTGCCACCGTGGGGACCTGAGGCACGTGCCTGTGCTGCCCCACAGCCCTGAGAGGGAAAGGTGGTGCCACTTTGTGGGTGACAGACATTTCTGAGCTGTGAAGCTGACAGAGATGGTTTCATTTGTGCTTCAGATCCTCCAGAGATCGGTCTTCGAGGGAAAAGTCCCGAGACAGAGAGAGGAAAGACAAGAGCTCTTCTGAGAGGCGGCACGAGAGCACAAACGGCAAATCTCGTTCCAAGAGGTCAGAAGAGAGAGAAGCTGGAGAGATCTGAACTCAAAAACGATCTGTGTTGCACTGTAAATAGTCTGATAAACATTCTACACAAAAGCCTAAATTTTCCCATTTATATTTACTGAATACAACTCATCTTTTGTAGTTTGGGGTTTTTATTGTTTGGCAGATAGCTGTGAGTTTGTAGAGAACACAAGAGTTACGTACTGTTTAACAGGGTTTTGTTTCAGTAGGAATAAATAAACCTGGATGGATGGTTTTGAGCCCAGGCCAGTGTGGACACCCTGTATTTGTCCTGACAGCAGCTGGGGCCGTGCTGTGCCTGGAGCCCTGAGCTGCCCTGACCTTTGTAACGCTTTAGCCCTTCCCAAAAGCCCTCCCTGACCTTCTGTGAGCACACCAGTAGTGCTGGTCCTCACTTTATTCTATTTTTCCTTCTGTTTGTATATGTCAAAAGAATATCCCGATTTTTTTGGTTTTTGTTTTTTAATCCCTTTTAGCGCTTAGCAACCCCATTTTTATGTCTCCAGCTCTCCAACCTGAGAGTTGCCTCAGTTGTCCAGCTGAGGCAAGGCAGGTAAAATTTGGCTCTGATTTATTCTGAAAGCTGTGAGGGTGACCAGATCAGCTGGACATGGGCTCGGGTCTGGTTTTAGTCCCTTGACAGGTCAGACAGTGAGCGTAAGCAAAGCAGTGGGAGACCCGGGCTGGTTTCATCTGCCTGTTTACTGTGCACTCTGCAGCCAGAGCTTGCCCTGGGGGCCTTTGTGACGCGCAGCCCCGAGCTTGGTGAGTTCCCGAGGCCAGGGAGCAGAAGGGGGCGGGGGTGCCCCGGCTGGAGCTGTCCCAGCGCCCGCCCGGGTCTGTGCCCCACCAGGGCTGGCTGTGCCAGCCCCAGCCAGGCTCGGCGTTCTGTGGCAGTTGTGCGAGTGAAGCCCTTGTGTCCCGCCGAGCCGGGCGCTGCTCATTAGCCGGGCGGGGCGGTTAATTACACCCCTTAATTGCCGTTCCCGGGGCGTCCCATCGATGCTGTACGGGCCCGCCCGGCATTCCCCTTCCCCTCCTCCTCCTCCTCCTCCTCCTCCTCCATACGCGGCTCCCCGGTGTCAGTCCCCCGTGCATGCCCCCCTCCCTCCCTCTCCCCGGGTCCGTTTTTACACCGAATTCTGCGGTTTCACGTGTTGTTTTTTGTAACCTGCGCTCGCGTGGGGGGGGTGGGTGGGTGTGGGGATGGGGGGGGGGGCCGGGCGGCGGGCGCGCTCTCGGGGGTGCGCTGTGTACGCGCCTGTCGCTGTTGCCGCCGCGGTTTGATGGTGAGCGCATTAAAGCTGTGTGTTTGTGGCTCCCCCGCTGCTGCCCCGACTCGTTTGTTGTCGCGGGGGCCGAGCCGGCCCCGCCATGGCGGAACGGCCGCCCCGCGGCGCGGCGTCACTTCCGCCGGGCGGCGGGCGATGGAGGCGGAAGTGACGGCGGCGGCGGCGGAGGGTGAGTGAGAGCGGGGCGGGGACGGGCCGGGGGCACCGGGCGGGCTGAGCCCCGGGGTGGGGGGAGCACCGAGCCGCCCCCCGGGCCAGGGGACCTCTCGTTGGGCCGGGCCGGCGGGACCCCCTGGGTGTCATTGACATGGGGGACCCCACGGCTGCCAGTGCCTCCAATAGCGCTTGGCCGAGCCCTGGTGCCTTCCCCGCTGAGCCGGAGGGGTTCCAGCTCAAGAGGTTTCCCAGAAGCACAGTGAGAAGCCTGGGACAGAATTTAATCTCTGCTTCCCAAGCCCGGGCCCTGCCGAGGTCGTTTGCCCCATTTTCGCCGTGTTGGCGGCTGCGGGAGGTGCTTGTTGCAGCACCTGGGGCTGTGCTTCAGTCAACCAGATACGAGAGACAGCTCAGCTCTGCGGGGCTCGGCACACCTGGAGCCTCCTCACAGGGTTAAACTCCTGTTCCTCTCTCCCTCAGCACCCCACGAGCCTGGGCTGCACAAAGAAAAATGCTTTAGTGTGTTCAACTCTGACCTCATTTCCAGCGGTTTTTTCCCCTTTATTTTGTAAGGCAGGAGCCTCTTGCATAACTGCTGGGAGTGAGGGGGCAGCCTGGCCTGCAGTGGGGGGAAATGCAGCCCTGCCCTGCACCAGGGCAGAACTGGGCCGTGTTGGAGGGGCTGTGGAGGCTCCCCAGGGATGGATATCAGGAGTGGGGGGGGAATGGCTTGGAGTGAGCTTTGCTCTGTGTATGTGTGCAAGGGAGGAAAGGGAAAATTCCATTTCTTGGTGGGGGAAAGAGGTTTCCCTTGGGAAGTGGTTGACAAGGACAACAGGGCTGGGAGAAGGATGTTGTTTCATAGAATCACAGACTGGTTTGTGTTGGGAGGGACCTTAAAGCCCATCCAGTGCCACCCCCTGCCATGGGCAGGGACACCTTCCACCAGCCCAGGTTGCTCCAAGCCCCGTCCAACCTGGCCTTGGACACTCCCAGGGCTGGGGCAGCCACAGCTTCTCTGGGCACCCTGTGTCAGGGCCTGCCCACCCTCCCAGGGAAGAAATGTCTCTGAGTGAGGTGGGAGGTCTCTTGGAGAGGTGGGGTTGTCTCTGGATGAGGTTGGAGTGTCTCTGGCATAGGAGGTTCAAACACCTGCTACCCTGGGGTTGTTTCAAGGGATTTGCAGCAGTCAGTGAGGGTGAGTGGCTTGGATCCAGTGGAGGTTCTAAGCCCTGGGACGATAAATGATTGGTGTTTGTGCAGCTCAGTTGTTGTTACTGGCCTGACCTGTAATCAGTTCCACACAGCTTTAGTGCTGTTCTTCATCTGAAGAGTTTTGATCTTCCCATTGCTCTCATGGAAGAAGCACTGGATCATGTTTTGCTCTTCCCTAAACTGAGTTTCTGTGTTTCTGACTCTAGTGAAAACTGCCCTGGGGAAGAGGAGTTCTCTGCTACAAATGCCAAGTGTATCCCATTCCAGGGTGGCTGTGCTCTGGAGGAGTTTCTCATTCCCTTGCTATGGGGGCTCTGGGTCTGTGTCTGTGCCCAAGTGTCATTTTGGAAGAGCCTGATATTTGGAGGAGACCTGTGTTAACAGAGCAAAACAGCAAGAGTGAAGGGAGGGGAAAGGACAATTCCAGCAGGAGAACCACAAAATCCCTGAATGAGTTGGAAGGGACCTTAAAGCCCATCCCATAGCAGGGACACCTTCCACTAGACCAGGTTGTTCAGAGCTCTATCCAACCTGGCCTTGAAGACTTCCAGGGTTGGGACAGCCACAGTTTCTCAGGGCAACCTGTATCGGGCCCTCACCACCCTCTTTGGTGGGGTTTGGGTCCTTACAAAGGCTGCAGAGACACGACAGGAACAGAATCCCCTGGAGTCAGACGGTGCAGGTGACTCAGCAGAGCGATGAGCTCGAGTGCAGGGGGCACAGCCTGAGTGTCCTTTGGGAAGGAAAATCTCATATGGGGGAGCCTTATGTGTTATTTCCTCTTGTCTGGACCCTGATCTAAGTGGGGCTGCAGGAAAGGGAACGAATGACCCCACACTGAGTGTCACAGCAGGTGACTGCCTGGCGGGTTTGCTGCAGTGCCACGCTGTGCATGGGATCAAAACCCAGTTGTCAGCTCGTGGAAAACAGCTGTGATGGGAATGCTGGTTCTTCCTCAGAGCAAAACTTGGCTCTTCTGTCATTACTGATTGCAGCTTGGGGCTTACAGCACTTTCAGGTTGACAGGAAGGGAACCTGCCAGGTGCTTGAAACAAACAAACAAGCAGAGCAAAACCAGCCAAATGCTGTGTTTGTGTTCCTAAAATGGCCAGTCAGAACCTGATTTCATCATTCTGTGGAAGACAGAAACGTGTTGAATATCAAATCTAAATTAGGAGTTTTCCAGGAAGAATGTCTGGTGACATTACAGATACTGTGTTTTGGTGTTTTATGGGTGGAAAATGAGTTCAACCTTCCATCACACTGATTCTTCAATGGTTTCTGTCACCAGCCTTCACCCACCTGACCGTGGTGTGGTTCTCTGTGCTCGTCAGGCACTTCTGCCTGACTGGTAATGGTGGTTTAGCTGCACAAGTGTCCCTGGTCTGGTTCAGATCAGATCTGTAAATCTGTGCTGTGGCTTCAGCAGAAGGGGTTGGTCGGTCCCCCATGAAGGTGAGTAAAGCTGTGTTTGTCCTGAGCACGGTGGTGTTACTGTGGGACAGGAAAGGTTGTTTATTCCCCTCAGCTTTGGTCAGGGTTTGCTCCTAGCTCATCCCATGGCTGGAATAATCAGCCTTCAGAGTTTGTGGAGGGGCTGGAGCCCTGTCTGAGATGCAGGTCCTGGCTGTGCTCCCTTGGTTCAGTTCAGGTCTGTCACACGTGCTTTCTAAATATTTCCCTTTCTACCAAAGTCCTTCTGCCGTCAGGGAGCAGGTGCTGGCTGTGAGAGGTGCAGCAGTGTGGGGATCCTGTCACTGCTCGTTCCCCCACGAGGTGCCTGGGCCAGTTAAACCTCCCGGGGAGTTATTTTGTGTCCTTTTATCAAGCGAGGAGACAAAATGTCGGCTGCTGGAGGGCAGTGAAACCATCTCAAATGCACACTATCATTTTCTGCTTGTCTTCAATTAAACTGATTACCAGAGCTCTCTGTTGCTCGGCGCTCAGGCCCTTCCACAGGCTGCCAGCGTGTACTTTGGCAGCGGCGGGCGATGGGATTTCCTGCATTGTTTGAATCTCTGCCACTGACCTTCGTGGTCCTTGTTCTGGCACCGCCTCTGCTCTGGCAGGGGTGCAAAGGGCATTATTGAAACCCTGAAAGGAAAGGGAGAGAATTGCTTTAAAGGCATCGAGGGCTCTTTGTACTCGGTGGCTCCTGGGGTCATTGCTGCAAAAGGAAGGGGAATTGCTGGGGTTTTGGGATAATTACTGCTTTTTTCATTGTTCTCATCCCACTCTAGATGACAATGGTGTGATTTGCAGTGAGTCATAAAAATAGGGCTTCCGTGCAGCCCTTCTCTGGTGTCGATTTTGGCTGAGGGGGGAGAAGCCTGGTTGTCATTCCTCTTGGGAAGTGTCGTAGGTGCTGGAAGTGCTCAGCTGTGCCCTGGGGCTTTCCCAGCTCCGTACTGGGGGGGCTCTGCTGGAGAGGCCAGCAGAGTTGTGCTGGAGCCCTCTTGCAGCCCGTGCTGTGGGCACTGGTTTTGAGAAGATCCACCTGGAGGGACACCCAGAGCCATCTGCCTCATCCCACGGGAGGTCACAGAACCCGCTCCTGCCTCCGCCCCCATCGCTGCGGCCGCGGCTGCTCTGTGATGGTAAATCATTTGCTCAGCCTCCGCCTGGAGCCTTGTACCTTGAACCTGCTGAAGGTCTGGTGCAGGAACAGAGCTGTGCTCAGCTCTGCAAAGGCTGATTGCGTGGCTCTGTGTTCTTCCCCTTTCCATCTGGAGCCTTCCTGCCCCTGTCAGGTGCCTGCAGCTGGTCTGGAAACAGCCTCGTGAAGGTGTCCCTGGTGTGGCTGGTACGGATGAGAAGGGCAGATCTTTGGAATAAGCTACAACTTCTGCATTATTGATTCACCTGCATGGTATTGTGCAGGTTGGATTAAATTATCTGTAGTGTGAGCCTGTACCTGATGTCATGGAATAAATGCCAGAGTGCTCGGGTTGGAGTAAGTGCTTTGCAGCTCTGGCCTTATAAGTCCAGCAGGCTCTGGGGTTTGTTAAAGGGTTGACAGGGGTGCCAAGTTGTCCCACTGGTCCTGTACCTCACCCCCTGCATTGCCATAGGTCCGTCTCCTCTGCCATTTGTACCCAGAAGGGAAGAGGCCTCTGTGTGGGACAGGGACAACCTGGGGAGCCACAGCTGCCTGAAGGAGCTTGGCCTCCCAGGGTGACTCATCTTGTGTTTCACTGGACCTGTAAATGAACTCGGGCACGAAACATGAGATGCAACAAGCCCAGTTGCTGTTGGAGCTGAAAGCCCATGCTCTCTGTGCTGTGTTAGTGCTGAGTTTGGGCTCTTTTCTGCTGGGGAAGTAAAAGGCTCCAGTGGACGATCCAGGCACGTGACTGCTGGGCACGGTCATGGAAAATTGGCTCGGTTGTCGTGTTTATTTGCTCTGATATAACTTTTCATAACACCGCCATGCAGCTTTTTCCGAGCCCACTGGAATGTGTTATTCTTTATTTCTTCCCTTCTGCTGTTTTTTTTGAAGAAGCTCTGTCAGAGAATCTGTGTGTAACATTGATTTTTATTGTTGTTGTGGGTAATGAGGTACAACCTTCTCCAGCAGAGTAGCGCTCTTTTTTTCCCCCTTTTTATAGCAAATTAGCACAGAACCCCTCTGTTTCTTGTAGCTGTAGCTCAAGGTTATGATTTATAGCAGGAGAAACTAAAATAGCAGTTGTTAGCTCTTCCAGTCTGATGAAATCAAATTTACCTGACTTTAGTCTCAACTCCTGCCTTGTTTTTTCCCCGGGGAGGGAAGTCATCACTCTCTTGCCTTCTGCAGGGCTGGGTTGCTGAACTTATCCAGTGTTTTCTCATCTGAGAAGCTATTGAATAGCTTTGGTTTGCTCCTATACAGAATATGCTGGTATTTGTTTCCCTCTCTCTCCCCTGGAGCAGCTCAAGTGCATATTACAGTAGGGAACAGCCTTACGTTGGGATAGAAAGGTCACAAGTGTTTCCTTTCACCGCTCCGGCTGGGAGTCAGGCTGGCATGCATGGGAGGTGGCAAGAAGTCTTTGCAGCAAAAGGAGCTTTTGGGGTGTTTTTCTGGAGGGGGACCTATAGACCAGTCAGTGCTTTCTGCGTGGGGTCTGTAGCCTCCTTTGTCCGGCTCTGGCACAGCTGATTCCCTCCTCTGAAGAAGAATTAGTGCTATTCCTGCATCCCACAGTCCCATTGCTCCGTGTGGGAGACCTCCAGCACCAGCAGCTCTGTGACAATACCCTGGTTTGCTCACCTCCCAGTACGTTTCCAACGTGACTATCAGGTAGTAACAAGAACATTTTAATGGATTTTTTTTTTTAATACATTCCAGATCTTATTTTAACTCCTCTGCCCACTGTTGCAGGGGTGAAGGGGGGTGAAGGCTGTTTGAATACCCATGAATGAGCTGTGATGGATAACAAAGATTCAGAAGCTGAGATCCACCCTCTGAAGACTGAGGATGCCAAAGCTCAGGAGAACCACGAGAACTCCGTGGAGAGGAGGATCATCAGCAAGCAGACGGCGGGGCTGTCCCGGCTGTCCCGCTGGCGCACGGCCGCCTTCTTCGTCTCCCTCTTCCTCTGCCTGGTCATTGTCTTTGCTTTCTCCTTTATCATCCCTTGCCCAGAGAGGCCAGTGTCAGAGAGAACGTGGTTCCAAAGCTACAACAACGCGGGTGAGTTTGCTGTGGCACAATAAATACTTACCAAGAGTCCTCTGCCACGAATTTGGGTTGTTGGACCTCCACCTAAGCACGACGTGGAGCCAGACCTGCAGGAGTGCTGCCCTTGGGAGCCTGAGCTCTGAATACCTGACCTGGATAAGCAGTGGCCTGGCATAATTGGAGTGGCCTTCCAGGAGGTGTTTACAGGAGCTAGTGGAGAAATTAGATGCTGCTCTGAAGCACTGACAGAGGTAGCAGGCTGGCCTCATTTGTTAAAAAAAAAAAAAAAAAAAAAGGGGAAGGGTATCTGGGAATGAGTCTCTGTTGAAGTTTGCTCTGTAAAAATGTTCCCTGGAAGTCTGAGCTGAAGTTGGAGACAATTAGGCATTTTTTTTCCTCTGTCACTATGACTTTCTCCCTTTTCCCCATGACCAACAGGAAAGAGGAGAAGAAGAAAAGAAGAATTCCATCTTGTTGTTTTTATAAATTGCCTTATAGCTGCTACAGCTATTTTTATTCTAGTTGCTTTGGTTGGCTCTTCAGCCTTGGTCCTGCTCCCCAGTGGCTCAGCACTGGCTTCTGGGAGAGCTGTTCTTTAATCTTGTGTGCAGGATGTGCTGGAAATGCAGAGACAGTGCTCACAGCAGGGACTGAGCTGTGTGTGGTGCTGCAGACATCCCAGGTGCCGCTGCTCTGAGCTCAGGAGACCTGCTTTTAGCTGAGAGGGAGAAAGATGGAATATCTGGGTTTTCTGGGTGGGATTTTTATGCTTCAAGAATAGCAACCCCACACCAAGACCGGAGCTGTTCTTAGTTCAGCGTGGTTCAAATTCTGGCTGCTTGGCTATAAAAATAGACAAATCCACGGGGGGATAGCAAATTTAAAAAATCCTTTGGCAGTAACTTCCTGTCCTTGGTGCTCGTGTATGTGGCATTTTTTTGATACAAAATCCAATTTGTCCTAATGTTACACTGCCTGACATGGAGGCAGTGAGTAGGTCTCTAGGAATTTGTGTTTTGCTCCAGCCAGCTCTGCTGTGGGCTGAGGAAATGCTCACCAGAGCCTGGCTTGTGGTCTCTTACAGTGGCCTACCGGTTCCTTGCTTTGGGAGATGTGAACGAAGACAAAGTGCAAGACGTCCTCTTTGTTTTCAAAGCCAGCAACGGCAGCAGCAGCTTCAACAGCTCTTGCCTGGATGAAGGTAGCTGATTCAGGGACAGAAAGCCTTGTAGTGAGGGCTGCCCTGTCTCTTTTAGTTCTAAGTAGTGAGAGCCTGGGAGATAAAACTGGGTGAGCTGGGTGGGGAGAGGAGCTGGGTGAGTCCCAGCCCCGGGGGGCGGGTGCGGGGCAGCAAAGGTGGTGCAGGTAGAGCTCCCTCTGACATCTCTTCTCCTCAGGGCTGCCTTCTCCCTGTGCCTTTGTTGCTGCCCTGTCTGGCACGAACGGCAGGGCTCTCTGGGAGAGTCCTGCAGCCCAGGATGTGGAGTGGATGGAGTGTGGCATCCAGCAGCTCGGCGGGGCGGGGGCCCCGGGGTGCCTGGTGGTGGGCAAGCCAGTGGCCCTGACAGCCCTTGACCTGCAGACAGGTGAGTGTGGGCAGGCTCCTGCTGCCAGCCAGGGGGCAGGGCCCTGGCAGTGTGACATGACAGGTACATGAACAGAGGCCACTGAGTGTTTAATGACTTGAACACCTCGCCAGAGCCTCGTTTGCTGGGTGTGGAGGAGCTCTCTCAGCCTCGCCGTTCCAAAGGTTGGGCTCTGTGCTGGGGGTTTGTGCCAACCAGTGTTTCATAAGACCAGCCTTCCAACAGCTTTCTAAGCAGGAGGAGCAGTCAGTAGCTGTGAATGTTGCTTTACACTCCCAGGGGCTGGACACGCACCTGCACCTGCAGCCTTTCCCAGTTATTTGTGTGTGTTGTGCCAGAACCGCCTGCAGTGGGAAGAGGAGTGGGAGTTCCAGGGGTTTGTGATTTTCAAGTCATCAAGGAGAGCACTTAGATAAGTACTTGCCAACCTGTGTCAGCAGTCCAGGGTTTTACCTGGAAAGGTTACTTCCTTTCTGAGCCCAGAGATGGAGAAATTCCTCATCATCTTGCCCAACATCTTGCCTAACACCTCCTCGGTGTAAGGAGTGTCGATTGCTCTAGGAGCAACGATCATCTGCTGCACCTTGAACCTTCCTTGCTGATGAAGCCTAAAATACATTTCCATTTTGGGGATCACTGTTTCAAAGGTCTGAACAGTGCATGTTCTCCCTAGGATCCCATTTTCTGTATCTGGTATTGAAACCCTCACAGCCTTTTTTCTGAAAATCGTGAGAGAGAAAAAGCAAGAGGTACCAGTGGAGATACCTTAGCACTGTTTCTCTCATGTGCAGGCCTTAGCACAGGTTATTTTTAGACTATTAATGAAGTAGTTGCTTTCAGGTCAAAGTGGAAAGAGTTGGCTGCTGAGCCAAAGGCATGGAACTAAAGACAGCCATAAAGAAGCAGCACAAGCACGGAGAGAAGGAGCCAGGCTAAGCTACAGGTCACAGCCATACAGTAAAGAAAACATTCCATAGATAACTTAAAAGCAAGAGAGGAAAAAATGCTTCAGATAGAGAGGTGGATAACCCAGAAGTTTACGTATTTGATGCCTTTTTGCTGTTAAGTAGGTTAAAAGCAGTTTCTGAGCGTGGTTGACTTTTACTGGGGGTTAGGAGGGCAGAGTAGAATAAAATGTATTTAAATAGGCTAAATGTATTCAAAGAGGCAGAGTCTGACTTACATCACTGTGTGCTAAAAACAGTAGCCAGCACAATCTTTAGCTGTTAATGATTCATCATGGTGGAGGATTTGATGAGATTCCAGGGCTCTCAGGCTGTCTAGCCCCTGCCTGTAGGAAGATTGAAGTAGAGATAGGCAGATTATCATCTGAAAGTGTCTGATGTGGTTTTGATCATTCAATGCTGATAAAGTTAGTGTTCTGTCAATTCAAGCTGTGTTAAGCCCTGCTTTCTTCATTGCCAGAAGAAGTGACCTGAGCAAACAAGAAGGGAAGTGTAGGAGTGCAAGCTGCTGTTTGTGTGGGATGTCTGACATTCCTGCATGTTTATCTTGCCAGCAAACTGGGACACAAGAGCTTAAGATTAACTGTTCCAGGTCAAAGCAAAAGTCTTTGTAGCTGTGTATTCCCTCTCTGCGAGGGCCAGCAGCAGAGTCTTGAGGAAGAGGATGGGAGTGAGTGTTTTGTTACACCTTCTCTCTTCACCTGATCCTCCAGCAGCCTGCACTGTGAGCCCTGTGGTGAGCTGCTGTAAAAGCAGTGTGTTGCAGTTTTTACTGCAACAGTAAAAACTTCAGTCTTTACTTTATAGTGTTTACTGTGTTGCAGTGAAAGATTTGGTTAGCTCTGGTCTCCTGAGGGATGTGGCAGAAAAAGCAGCACAATGATCAGATGTGTGGAATTGCTTCTGTGTGAGGAATCACAGAACTCCAGCCTGGAGAATGTCTGCCAGGGAGAAAAGTCTCTGTGTCCTCTGCAGCTGCTTGAAGTGAGAGCTGAACTCAGTTTATCTAAGTTCCAATTTTATTACTCCTTCCAGACAAAAACAACCCCAACCCTTTCACCCAGGTTAGATTTGCAGTCTAGGCACTTGTCTAATTTCCATCTTGGCTCCTCTTGCTGTGCCTCTGCTGTGACCTCGGGCTCTGAGGAAGCACCACAGCACTCAAGGTGTCAGACAGGATTGTCCCATCTCCCGGTGATGGAGCAGGAGGGGACTGGTTTCACAATTCCTGCTCTTTGGGTGTTGGGTTAGAGCATGAAAAGCTTCTCAAGTGCTTGGAGCTGAACCTGTCTCACTGCTCCCTGTTTCTGTTAAGTCAGGCTGTTCTTTTAAGAGGCTGAGATGCTTTCTCCCAGACTACTTTCTGACCAACAGAGATTAGAGCTTTATGCATTAGCAGGTGAATTCCATCAGCCTGGTCTGTCTTTGGTATCTTTGGACTGTGCTGAATCTGGGATGTTGTAAATTAAAACTTCAGTTCTCTCCTTCCTCTGACTGCTTGGTGTCTTCAGGGGCAGAATTCTTTGCCTTCCCATGATTTCCTAGGAAATCTGCTCTCCTCTACTTCACATCTGTTGTCATAGCAACAAATCCAAGTGGTTTTTTTGTGTCTTGCATTAAAAGCTTTGGAGGAATCCTACTGGAAATACATCCTGCCTTAAATTATTGCAGACAGCTTCAGGTAGTAATTCCTTGGCCTTCAGTCCAGCTGCCTTCCCGATAAAGAGCAGATGATTACTGTGCATTCCTGACAGGATAATTGCTGTGTAAAGGGAGGGTCAGCATTTCCCCTCTGGGCACCTTATAAGACACTGGAGTGTTCCTTAAAACCCCCCCAGCAGTGTCCTCCTCACCAGATTCCATTGGAGATTCCACTGGGCAATGACTGGAAAGTGGCCAACAGCCTCTGAGAGAGTGGATGGAGTGGAACCACTCAACTGTTCTGGAGCTGTTGAAGAGAAACCAACCTCCACCTCCCCCATTTTTTTTTAAAAAAAACAAAGCTTTTCTACCTCAGTTTACAAACAAGTTTGTGTTCTTCCAATGGGGGAGAGGTGGGATGTGGCCTGAGACCTGGCTGGTCATGTCAGCATGGAACAGCTGCAGGAGGCAAGTTGCAGCAAAAAAAGGTTTTGCCAGGAAGAGATGCAACACTGTGGTCAGAATTCGGCTGCTTCATGGTCTAAAAAATATCTGTGCAGATTTAGGTGCAGAGCAGCAGGGATTTAGATCCCAGCAAAGGATTCTCCATGCCATGAACGTGCTGGGAAGCTTGTTAATCTAAGGCACAAAAGGAAAGCAAGCAGTTCTTTGTGCCAGGGTTTTGGGTGCATTCCTGCAGGCAGGTGGGGTTACTTTCCAGTGGAAGATGAAATTGTGGATACTGGGATTCATTGGGAATGCAGAAATGCAAGGAAGCACCCCATGATGAGCATAAATGTGGCTGGTTGGTGGTGCTGTTGGGCTGGAACAGGAGCATTCAGCCTAAAGTGCCTCTCAGTGACTGTTTCACACTGTCTTCTAGGGGAGGTTCAGTGGAGACAGTCCAGTGACTTTGGAGCTAATTACACTCTGCTGACTCCTGTGTCAGTGATCCCAGATGTGGATAATGATGGAGTGCAGGACCTGGTAATCTTCATTGCTACAGGAAAGAAGGTATGTCCCCCTGCAGCTCTGATAACCCCAGTGGCTGGACCACAGGGCATGGCAGGAATGCTGTTTATTTCCACCTTGTGGTCTAACAGGAAGTGTCCAGAAGCCTCTGATTTCTGTGGGTTTGGGGTGGGTTCTTTCTCACCCTCCAGAGATGTACTTGCAAATCGATGCAAGTGTTTTAAAGGTTTAAAAAAATAAAATAAATCAAAGAACTGGCCAGGAATCCCTCCCCCTGTTCAGTCTGCTCTCCTCACTGTATGTTCCTGGGCTGCCTGTGGAGAGAGCCTGGGCAAGATGAGCTTGCAGTTTTCTGCTTCTCTGCCCAGAGAAGTGGAAGTGAACAAATCCTGACAGCTTTGGCTCTTAGATCAAAGCACAGCTGACAGACAGTGCTTTTGTACCACCACTGCCCTTTTCTGATCCCTCCCCTCTCTCTGCCTGTGGTCTGCTTTTGCACTGCTCTCTTGCCAGTGTCACTGTGCTGGTTAATTCTGACCTGGGTTCATTCAGTGAAAGAGCTGCTGGTTCTGTTGTCTCTGTCCCCAGCATTGCTTTTCCCGTTTCTGAGAGGGGGAAAGTCGTGCAGCTGAGACTGTTTTTGTACCAAAATATCTGCATCTGTGATTGAGTGGCACAGCATTGTATGCATGCCCGGTCTGTCCTGTTCAAAGCACACAAGTTACAGTCTCCTGGGAGCAGTGGGAGCCCCATGTCCTCATGCCAGTCACAGAATCACAGATGGAAAAGACCTCCAAGATCGCCAAGTCCACCCTTTGCCCCATCCCCACCTTGTCCCCCAGTCCACTGAGTGCCACGTCCAGTCATTTCTTGGCCACCTCCAGGGATGGGGACTCCACCACCTCCCTGGGCAACCCCTCCCAGTGTGTAACAACCCTTTCAGTGAAGGAATTACTCCTAATAGCCTGGACCTCCCCTGGCACAGCTTGAGGCCGTTTCCTCTCACCCTGTCTCTTGTTCCCTGGGAGCAGAGCCCGCCTCTGGCTTCCCCCTCCTGTCAGGGATTAGTAGAGAGTAGAAGGGTCACTCCTGAGCCTCCTTTTTTCCAGGCTGAGCCCCCCCAGCTCCCTCAGCCGCTCCTGGTGCTCCAGCCCCTTCCCAACACTGTTCCCTTTTCTGAACATGCTCCAGCTTCTTTAATGGGGGGCCCAGAGTTGGACACAGGACTGGAGGTGTGACCTCAACAGTGCCGAGTACAGGGGACTGTCACTGCCCTGGTCCTGCTCGCCACTTAGGGGCTGGTATAAGCCAGGTGCCATTGGCCTTCTTGGCCAGTGTCTTCCATAAGAAAATAGGGTTTTGCTGTCTGAGGCATTGTTGTTGCCAGAATCATCAGAAATTCTATCCTCTCTGACTCCTACGGTTCTCTTCTGTTTCCTTTCCTCCTTGCTTTTGCTATCTCAGTTATCTCAAGACTTTTGTTTTTTTTTAATCTTAGCCAGCCAAGAAATGTTTGAATGTAGCCTCTGTTCTGCAAGACTGCCTTTTGATCTGTTTTCCATTTAAGCTCTCTAGCTATCTTGGTATGAAATCCCTTCCTCCCTCCGGACTTGGCAAGCATTCTGTCAACTTAAGGGAAAGTATGTTCTTTTTTGAGAAATCACACAAACTGTAGGGAGCTTGAGTGGTGCTGTGCAGCTTGGAAAGGGCAGCCTGGTCAGAAGAGAGATTCAGAACCAGAGTGAAGGAGCTTTGCTGCTATCAAGGGCTGAAGCTGAACGTTCCTGAAGGGGAAAGGGCTGTGAGCAATCTGTAGGGAAGGGTCTGTGTGCAGGGGGTTTAGATGGCAGCTTTTTCAGACAGCCTCATTGACCCCCTACCTGCTGCAAACTTCAGCACCAGTACACCCTGGAAAATCCAGTTTTCAGGATCTCCATCACCTCTGGCAGCTCACAGAGGGGTTGGGCAGTGCAGGGGGTGAGGTGGTGCGTGTTCTCTCTCCATGTGGGAACACATTTGGCTGTCACTTTGCCAGGGCAGCTGCTGGACCAGTGCTTGCCAGTAAAGGTGATCCTGGTCTACAAGAGCTGGTTTGTGTCTCCTCCCAGTGCAGGAGGCTGGGAACAGCTGCTCTCCCTCTCCAGTTGTGTTCTCATTCTCCTCAGCAAACTTTATCCCTTCATTCACCTGCCAGACTCTCCAGATTCACTTCAGGAGCAGCAGATTTCCTTCGCTCCCCCAGTGCATCCCTTTCAAGGAAGAGGGAAGGGTTCCTGCCTGACTCAGCATCTCTGTGGATGCTGTTTCTCTGAGCCTGATGTTTCTCTTTTCCCTAATGTGCATTGCTCTCCCCAGACTGTGACTGTTGCCCAGATCACATTTGAATCTGATCCTGATTTTAACCTTTATTCCCCTGGGTGAAATGTTTTTTAGTGGATTCTGTTACCCTGCACAAAGAATAGAAAGAGAAAGAAACCTATCAGCTCTTTTATCCCCTTGGACTTTACGTCAGCTTTAGGAGAAGTAGATTAGGGCACTTAAAACATTTAGCAGAGCTGCCATGTGAAGCCAAGTTTCCCCTGTGTCCATCTGGTGCTTTGTTTCTGCCTTTAGCTCCTCTCTCTCGTTGTCCCTGCTCAGTAGGCTCGAATGGATCTTCACTGTCCCTAGCAGAGCTGGGGCTGCTGTTCAGCAGTCCTTGTCTGCAGGGAAGGTGGGTGGCAGAGGCAGCAAAATCTCAGGGTAAAGTGGCTGTGCTGGAATTGCCTTTCAAACCTGCAAAATTATTTACAGCAGAGGGGTCACCAAACTCATGCCCACTCCTCCAAAACCAGGGAGAGACTTCCCGTCCCAGCCTGTGCTGCTCCCATTGAGCTGCTGTTCAGTATCAGTTTTAACCTTGTCGTTTTTTTGGTTTTTTTAATCCCTTCCCTGTGTAGATTAAGAGCTTCATCCATTCAGGAAAGAATGGCCAACAGATTGGCTCCACTGGCAGCCTGGCCATGGATGGGAGCGCTCGCTACATCAGGCTGAACCTGGGCTCCTCCCCCTACTTCCTTTTCTACACAGGTACAGTTCTGCCTGGGAATTCAGTCTGGAAGAGTGAAATCAGGATTGCTAAACGTTTTTTTGGCTGAGAGAGTGTTTTGCATTCCTAAAAGCCATGTGGTGCTTTCACCTGGCCAGAGAGCTGTTCAGGGCCAAGAGAAGGGAGGGCTTCTGCTTAAACTGTGGTTTATTACGTACTGTAGTGATTTTATTTAACAAATGTCAGGCATGTAAGGATTAAGCAGTCATTTATAGCAAATGATTACTGTGGAGCACTTGGATTACGAACAGATAAGATGTTGAAAGCATTCAATAGCAGGCTTGAATCTCGAAATACCACTACAACTCTATGATGCAAGCCCTAAAAATATAGTTTATCTGCCAGATCTGGAAAATCATAGAGTTCAGAGCAAGGGCAGGATAACTTATCTCATTCTTGCATTCTTTTTTTTTTTTTTTTTCTTTTGCACAGAAAACTCTCTCTATGCATATTCCCTGAAAGATCTGTACAGTGCAGCAACTGGGATGGAAACAAAACTTTCCAGCCTCCAGCAAGATCCTCAGTGGGAGAAGAACATTGACAGCACCACGCACCGCTTGTCCCTTCTCAGGTGTGAGGTTATTTTTTGGGGGCTGGTAGAGTTGGAGGGTGCTGGTGTTGCTGTCAGAGTGGGCTGCTGGGGCTTTGTTCTCTCCTGGCTACGTGGCTTTTGGACTAGGAACAAATCCAAAGCTCAGGAAGAGGGCTGGTGTTAATGGCCTTGTCGGGGGTTCGCAGAAAAACAGGGGAAGCAGGTTGGGGTCTCCTGTATGCATTTCCTGTGCAAGTCAAAAACCCAAAACCTCACAAGAAAGCCTAATGATTTCTCTGTCCTTGTTCAGCTCTGGAGGCTTTCGCTACCTGGCAAAAATTCCTGGGCAGTCACGGGACAACATCTTGGTTATAAGCTCAGAGATGGCCACGCTGATCAATGGAAAGAATCTCCAGACTTTGTGGACCCTCAATGTGTCCCGTGCTTTGAGGTACTGTTCCCACTGTGGGCTGGATGTGGCATTTCCAGGCTCCCAGCAACAGCAGTGTCCTGGCAGATGCTGATTTTGTTTGCCCGTGGTCATATCTGTGTTGTGTGCCCCTCTGCTACCAAATGTCAGGGGCTGCTTCAGAATGGAGGAGCCCAAAGCTCTGATCCCTCATTCTGTGCCTGCTGTGACGTGGCTGGGCTCAGGGTTGGGGTGGTACCAGGCTGACCCAACCTTGTAGCAGTCGAGTCTCTTACCAGGGCAGCTGTGGGAGGATGGAGGCTGCTTGGAAAGAGCAAGGTGTGCCCAAGCCATGGGGGTGGGTTCTGATCTCTCCCTTCTCTTTCTGTCCCTCAGTGAGCCACTGCTCGGTTACTACAAACCTGATGTTCTTGGTGTTGTCCTGGAGAGTGAAATTGGACCCAACAAGAAGAAGGTTTGAAACCTCTTCCTTTTAACTTCACTTTTCTCTGTATTTCACAGCTCAGGCAGGCATTGAGTCAAGGACAGCTGGTGGGATGTGTTCCCTCTGGCTGATTTTAGGAGGCCTTAAGCTAGGAAAGGATCTCTTTCAACAGGTTATTGAAGCCAGCTCAGGCACTTTAATTCTCTTCTCAGCAAGAGGCTTCAATGACAGAACTTTGAACCCCTTGAAATAGCTGCAAAACTTGTGGCTTGAACGTGGCCCACCCCAGCTCTCACAGCCCTGTGATGCTCCACTTCAAGTATTTCCTCATCTTCCCGTCTGTCAGATACTTGTTCCCACAGACAGTGTGGGGAGAGACAGCTGACCTGACTTCTCTCTCGTGGCTTGTTAGATCCCTTTGTTACGAGTTCCTTTCCTTTCTTCCCTGCTAGGTGATGATTGTTGAGAGTGCATCTGGAGCAGTCCAGTGGGACCTGACTCTGAACTCGGGAGCAGAGAGTCCTGGGCCAGCCACGCTTTCCACTGCAGATCACCGGTCCACCTTCCTCATCTGGGGGGACTACGAGGAGCCAGGCAACGAGACAGTGAGTGCTGCTGCTGAGGGGCTGCTGTGCCCCAGACTTTGGGCCAGAGTTGGGTGGAGCTACTCCCTTCTCCCAGGTGGCATTCTCATCTGTCTGTGCCGCTGACACCCACACTGGGTGTGGGGTCTCTGCTGGAAGCAGCCAGAGCCCTGTGTGTGACCTGGCCTCTACTGGGTCCTCACAATGTCCATAGCAGTGTCCCTGCTAGCAGGTGGTGGCACCAACAGCTTTTGTCATCCTCAGGCTGGTTATGTAAAGAAAAGGAACCCGGTGGGTCTGTCAGCAAAGTCCCTGGGTGCCCAGAGCCCTGCCTTGGTGTGGCACTGTGAGTGAGGTGAGAGGCTGCTGCTGCTACCCTTGGAGTTGCTGCCATTTCTCTGGGAGCCTCCCATGGCAGCACTGCATGCAGTGATCTCCCGTGGCCATGTGAATATCCTCTCCCTGCCCCAGGCAGCCTCTGGCAGCCTCAGTGCACAGCTCAGCTGCTGCAGAGCCCTCCGGGGCAGTGACAGGCAGCGTTGGTGACAGGTTGTGTCTCAGAGCGTGCTGAAGCACAGCTGAGCCTCCTCTGCTTTCCTCGCTCACTCTGCCAGCCCTGAGGTAAAAATCTGTCTCCTGCCTGCAGCAGGCAGGCCAGCTATTTTCAGGAAGCTTGGGGTGAGGAGGAGAGCACTGAGCAGAAAGCAAAATCCCAGCACTAGTCCTGGTGACATCAGCCACCATGAGTTGGGCTGACATGGACAAGTGTCTGACTGGATGAATCCAGCCCAGCATGAGCAATAGCCAAGCCAGGTGCTGGTGTTGTCTCTGGGATAACGTGTGGGTCTGTGCCCTGATCTTGTGCTGTTGGTTGCAGAGATCCACAGCTCCCCTCCAGAAGCTGTACCTTTTCCACCCTTCCTACAATAACATCCTCTTGGAGCTGCGCAATAACACAGACCAAATAATTGCATTCAGTGGTAAGTCCTCTCCTTCCAGCCCTGCAGCAGGGAGCTGCAGGAGGACACTGGTCCCTCCTGGCCTCTCTGGGTGTGTGGTGTTGGGTCTGGGGGCAGAGAGACCTCAGGCTGGGCTTTCCCTGTGCGTTGCAGCCGCGCTGTTCGAGCGGAGCCGTCACGCCTGCTACGTCCTGCTGAGGGGCCCCCAGCCCAGCCAGGAGCCAGGGCCCGTGTCACTGATGAAGAGGAAGCTGAAGGAGGACGTGTCAGAGAGCAAAGTGATCTGGCTGAACCAGGTGGCCGTGGACAGCGAGGAGTACATCCGGAACCGCCTCTACAGGATGCGATTCCACAGCCGAGACTGAGCCCGCCCGGGGAGGGGGAGAGGCTGCCCGGGCCAGGCGTCTCCAGGCTGCCTCTGCTCTGCAGCCGTGCTCTCGACAAGCCCAGATCATGGAATCAGATGGGAAGCTGCCTTTCTCGACCTGCAAACCAAAGCGTGGCTGGCAGGGAAGCACCCCCAGTGTCAGGGGACACCCAGGCTGTGGGGGCAGCTGCTGGTGCATCCATCCCCAGAGCTGATGGGACTTCAGTGCTTGGCCACCACTGAGGTGTCGTCAGCTCGGGGAAGAGGGCTCTCCCCTCCATCCCTCTGTGCCCACAGAACTGTGCTGACTCAGGAGTGTGTCTGGAGGAAAACATGTGCTTGCTGGGGACGCTGGAGTGGATGATTTCTGGGGTGTTTGGAGCTCGATGTGTGGTGTTAGGTTTCCTTTCTGAGTCAGCTCTCCTGGCTGGGGGAGAGGTGCTTGGCTGCAGGTTGGTTTGCAATCACCCTCTCCTGGATTTGGGCCCTGCTTCAGTGGTGTTGGGGTGTGTGTAGTGCCCGACCCCAGTCCGTGGGGCTGGGGGTCACCTGGGCCAGCAGGGCACAGGTTAAAGTGTTCTACTTAGAAAATGGCCTTTTCTCCTAAGAACAGCCCCACATGCCCTACTCTGCAGTCACCAGCCTGCCTGTGTCTGTCTCCTCTGCTGCTTCCCTCCCAGCCAGGCTGTGCAGTGTTGGTGACACCGAAAGGGAGCTGGTCTCCCACCTGATGGATGCACAATGTTCCTCCCTGCCCTCAGTCTGATTATAGGTGATGAGGGATGCACCCTGAGCCCAGGGTGGCTGGTCCCTGGTGGTGCCAACACCACCTCTCCTGGTTTAAAGGAGTCAGAGGATCTAGGACTTCTTTTTTTTTCAGAGTAGAATTGCACTTTAACCTTTCCTGGGAGCTGGGATTGCTGCTCTGGGAAGCCCTGTACCCAAGTGGCAGTGCCAGCTCCTTGCTCATTCAGCCTTGCAGCTGCTGAGGAACCTTCTCCAAGCACTGTCCCCTCTGCCAGGAGGGGGGCAGGAGCTCCATGCTGCTTCCCTGCCCTGGGAATTGAAGTGATGCTGGGTGGGGATCCTCGGGTGCCTCTCTGCCCAGCCCAGTATCCTGGGGGATGGGACAGGTTGCTGTGAGGAGATGACATGTTCCTCCTGGAGATCTGTGTAGCATCAGGTGGGTGTTTGCTCTGCCCTGTCCTGGTGGGTGCCAGTGCAGGCTGTAGAAACAAGGCGCAGAGCCTGGAAAAGGGATTGAACTGCCTGCTTAGTCCTGAAGATAAAAATTAACCCTAAAAATAACCTCTCTCAGGCTCTGCAGTGCCTGGAGGGGGTTTGGCCAGTGCCTCCCTCCCCTGCTGAGTCTCACACTGGAGGATGTGCAGAAACACTGTAGGATGGGAAACTTAGTGCCAGGCTGTGCAGGGTCAGGCACTGGCTCTTCCCTTCAGCTGAGTCTGAATGTGCCACAGGGCAGCTGCTGTCACGTCTCATGGCACAGCTTCAGCCTTCCCAGCCTGACAGCCCAATGACCTGGGCTGCCTGGACAGTCACCTCCTGCTTCCAGCTGGCCTGGTGGCTGCCTAAAGGATGCCCTGGCTCCCTCTGCCCAGTGACCAATATCCCAGGCAGTCAAGAGAGCCAGTCCTGGGGCATCCAGGCTGTGCCAGGAAGCCAGGGATGCTCCCTGGAAAGCACACCACAATCTTCAAAGCACCCTGGGCTCAAAATAGTGAGTTTCCTTCTCTTCCTCTCTTCACAGCCTATTTTCTGAGGGAGTCTGGGGTCACAGGGAGGTTCCCCTGCTGTGTCCCCCAGCCGGGGTTGCCTCTTTGCTCAGCACCTGAGTCCTGGCAGCCCCACAGGTCCCTGTGCCAGCATTTCAGCCATAAGAGGCTCCAAGAGCCAGATTCAGGCTGCCCTTCAGCCAGCTGGGACAGGGCAGGAGTGTGGCTGCAGGTGCTGGGCAGGGAAACCCCAGGCTTGCATATCAGTCCAACCTGAGTGTTGGATGTGGATTGTATCCCACTGAGATTCCCCTGGCAGGGAGTGAGGTGCCTGGGCTGTATTCTCACCACACTCCCTCCTCTGATCCCTTTCCCATAGGCACACTGAATGTTCCTTCAGGAGAGCTGGATTTTCAGCTTTGGGGAGCTTTTCTGGCTTTAAGTTGTCCATTCATTAATGTTTCCAGGTACTTTTGGAAACGCAGATTTCCCTGTGGCAGCTCAACTAAATGCATCAGTGCCAAACCAGCACCTTCTTAACAAAACCAGTCCTTTCTCCAGCTTATTTTCCTGTGTAATTGTTTTTTTTTTTTTTTTCTGCAGTATTTCCTGAATGACTTTGTGCCTTGATTCAATGACCCAGCTGGGTGGCGATGGCGTATTATCACTGTGTTCTGTGTTGGTGTGGTTTTTAACACTGAGACTGTTTGATTTGGTTCTTTAACTTATTGCAAATTGTGCCGTACAGGACTCGCTCTAACCGGAATGGTTTCAATAAACCCTCTTTTGCATTGTTTGTAAACGGTGCCCTGCTTTGGTGTTGCAGCGGAGGTTACACGAGGCTGCTGGGATTTTGGCAGCCCTGTGCGTGACTCCTGAAGGCAGACCCCCCCCCTCCCCCCCTTTTTGGGAGGGATGCAGGTGTCCTGGTGATGCTTTTGTGGCTGAGGCGCTGCCCTGCCTCAGTGCCCAGGAAAAGGGCGGGAGCGTGTGGAGGGAGGCTGGAGTTAGATAACCAGGCTGGGCCAGCCCGTCCCTGCCCCCCGCCCGGGGCTCCGTGACCTGGTTTTACACCCCAGATTCCTGCTGCAGTCCATCAGCATGAAAAGCTCATGCCGGGGCTTGGATTTGGATCAAGCCGGAGGGAGACGCGTGGCAGGCGCTGTCTCCGGGAGCGCGGGACCATCTGTCGCTGCCCGGTGCCTGCCAGCCCCGGGCCCCATCCTGTGACCGAGGCTCCAGCAGCTCCCACTGCCCCCGGGCCCCTGTGCCTGCCCCAGCACTGAGCTCAGAATGCCCCCTGCTCCACGCCAGGGATCCCAGGCTCTGTAGCAGGGAAGGATGCCGTAATAATCACCAGCATCCCAAGCACCCGCGGTGTTTGTTAGCTGGAATGCGGGCTGGAAACACCCCCAGCCTGCTCTGCTCTGTGGGTCCCTGGGTGCGTGTGGGGCGGGCTGGGCTCCAAGGGTGAGCACTGGTGGGCACCAGCCCCCCTCTCCTTTACGTAACCACCCCTGATAATCCCCCACAGCCGGGGCTCGGCTCCCGGGAAGGGAATAATCCTGCCGTGCGATCCTCGCCCTCTGCTCAGATTATCGGCCCATGGGCAGGGAGAGTGGCTCAGCTGCCAGCCCTGCTCCCTGTCCCCGTGCCAACCCACAGGGCCCTGGCAGCCCGGGTTTGCTTCTTTGGCTTCTCCAGCCCTGCTCCCTAGCTGGTCCTCCCGGCCTGGGGTCTGCACTTGCTGGGTGCTGCAGGCAGGGGAGGGAGTTGCTGCCAGCTCAGGGGGTACAGGACACAATCCAGCCTGGAGAGGTGGCCAGCACCTTGTGCACTTCGCACCCTGCTATGGCCTCCCTTGTCCCCCTTCCCTGAAAACCGCGGGAGCCTCAGTGTTTCCCCATGGGGGCTTTATTGTCCTGTGCCCGGGCTGGGGGCGGGAGGGGGGGTGACCCCGCACCAGGCCGGCTGGGTGCGGGTTCCCCGAGGGAGAGGAGAGTGTGGGGATGTGAGCAGGGGCTGCAGCGGGGCCAGCCTGGCCCCGGGGGGTTGCTGGGGGGGATATGGCTTCTCTCCTTCAGTGCTACTGCCGGCAGGGTCCTGCGGCGGGGCTGGGCTGTGCTGGGTCACGGGGCTCTCGTGTTGGCGGGGGGCTGCAGCCTCAGCTCTCCTCCTCGGGGACAGGGGCAGTCGAGGGGCTCCTGCTCCTCTCCTCGGCATCGCCCGCGGGCAGGAGCAGGGCCGGGCTGGGGCTGGAGTGCCGCTGTTTGCGCATGAAGGGGAACACCCTGCGGGCAGAGCGGGGTCACAACCAGGAGGGACCACCCAGCGCCTCGGGGGGACGGTCCCTGCCCTCACCGCTTCTTGGTCTCCGGGGGGATGATGGCCTCGGCCAGGAGGTTTTTGTAGAGGTCCGACTTGAGGAACCGCGGGTAGGAGTCCTGGGCGAGCAGAGGCGTCAGGATCCTGCCCAGCCCTGCCCACCCAAGCCCTGCCCTCACCCACCTTCTTCATCAGCATGTAAATGTGCATCTGGGCGTCGTCCATCACGTAGCGATGGGGCGTCTTGATGCCCTCCAGCGTCCGCTCCATCGTCTTGCTGTCGATGTTCACCCAGCGCGTGGCCCCGGGAGCCAGGAATTGCCTGGGGAATCACCGGCGGTGCTGAGCCCGGCCCCGCAGGGGGACCCTCCCCCAGACCTTGCCCCCCAAACCCTGGCCCCGCTGGCACTCACTGGTAGATGGAGTCCACGATCTCGGCGATGCGGGACTGCTCCCCGTAGCGCAGCTCCTCACACGCCTCCCAGAAGCTCAGGTTCTCGGCTGGGGAGGGGGATGTGGTGCTGGGCATCCCCCATGGGCAACCCCCAAAGGCCACTGTGGCCGGGCATGTGGCCCTGCAGCCCCCCTGGGATGGAGCCAGCTGGGATGGCGTGGGGCAGTGGGTCCAGGGGAGCTGGGACAGGTTAGTCAGGAGGTACTGGGATGGGGTGGTAGATTTGGAATGGCAGCATGGAGATCTGGGTTGTGCTATGCCAGGACAAGGCCATGGGTTGGTTTGGTGATGTTGGGATTGGCCAGTGGATTAAGCACTACTGGGACACGGTGGTGAGTTTGGAGGTGCTGGGACAGGGTGATGGGTGTGGGGGTGCCAGGACACAGTGGTGGGTTTGAGGGTGTGGGGCTGGGGCTGCTCACCACTGAACTCCTTCTTGAGGAATTCGAGGAGCTGTGCCCGCCCCAGGGGATCCATGATGAGCTCGCTGAAGTTGAAGCCCCAGCGCTCCACGCGCAGTTTCGTGGGGGTTGTCACCCTGCAGGCAGCACCAGCATTGGGGCTGGCAGCCCTTGGCTGCCTTGTGTGACCCCACACCCTGTCCTTAGATGGGGCACTGGGGGGGGCGTGGGATGGGGTGCTTACGTGGGGGCGTTCATGACCCAGTATGTGGTGTCGTCCGTGATCCAGGGGTTGCTGGGCAGGCAGCCGGACATGATGGGGTCGTGGGGCACGTACTGCTCGTTGAACTTGATGTACCTACCGGGAGCAGTGGCTGGAGGTGGCCAGGGCCACCGAGCCCAGCCACCCCGGGGACACCATGGGGATGTGTTGTGGGCGTGCCCGGGCTCTGCAGAGCCTCAGCTCCACTCCCTGCTGAGGGTTATTGTGCTGTGGTGCCACCCACCATCTGCAGGAATGGGGGTGCCCCCTCACCCCAACAGGGACCTGTAACTGGGGCAGCCACTGCCACTCACCCCTCGAGGCAGATGGAGGACTTCACCCTGGTCCTGGCCATGGCCTTCCTGCAGTACTCGATCTGGGGCCAGGTGCAGGGGAGATATTGGGGTGCCTGGCAGCCCATGACACCCAGGGGCCACCCCAACCCCTTGCCCCACTCACCTCCCGCTTGTAGTAATCCATGTTCTTGGTCTGCAAGAGACAGGCAGGGCCGGGTGAGGGCAGGGCAGGGCCAGGACATCATGCCCTGCCATCACCACCCTGCCAATCCAGGTGTCTCCCACCCCAGGACCTCGTAGCCCATCCCTGTGGCCTCCAGTCTCACCCCTGCTGGCTCAGCCAGCACAGCCCACGAGGTGTGACCCCCCCCTCACCCCAGTGTGACACCAGCCCTAGGTTAGTGACACTTACGTGGGCAGAGGACACGGCACACGGCGCAAAGAAGAGAAAGTGGGTGGTTAGTGAGGACAGACTGGGGGTGCTGGGGCAGCATTAGTGGGGTCACGACACGGGGAGGGTTAGAGTTAGGGTTGGGGCTCCTGGCAGTGCAATGCCCTGCAGGGATTAGAGGTGCTGGCACAGGGGGTGGTGGGTACATGGGCAAACACACAGACCCCCCGACTCAACAGGGTGGGCACACAGATGTTAGCAGAGCTGGGGCTCACCACCCCCTTCCCTCCCCCAAATGTGGACAGAGCCTGTGGTGGGTGGGATGGGCACCCCCTGGGGCAGCTCGACACCCTGGCACAGGCACATGGCTGTGCCCTGTGCCCCTTGACAGCCCCAGGGGTGCCTGGACCCCCCCACTCACCAGCTGGACACGGGTGGTGTGGCAGTTCCTGCGCTCGGGGCCCTGCTCCAGCACATTGGGGACTCCCGGCTGCAAAGAGTGCATCGTGCTGGAGGTTGGGGCTGTGTGTGGTGCCAGGGCGTTTCTCAGGGCTGCACCCTCCAGCACGGCACCCCTCACCCCCCACGGTGCTCACCGGGGGCCGGTTGACGAGCCAGAACGCCTGCTCCTGGCAGTCGATGACGATGCGGTCGCCCTTCCGCCGCTGCTTGGCCGCCCTGCCCGTGCAGAGGCAGCGGGGGAGCGCTGGCACCCCGCACCCCGCCTGCCCCGCACCCGCGGGGGCTCCGTCCCGGCCGTCCCGGGGGGCGGCGGGGCCGTGCCCGCACTCACCGCAGCTGCTCCCGCGCCTGCATCACCACGAAGTCCCACGTGTGGTTGATCCGCTTGTGCAGGAGGTTGTAGTTGTCCTGGGGAGCGGCAGCGGCGGTGTCACCCGAATGGGCACGGTGTGGCACCTGTCCCCTTGCCCGGCTCCGCGTCCCGTTGCCCCAAGGGCACCCACAACTCCCCACGGTGCCGGTGCCCCCCTGCACCACAGGAGACCCCCTGCTCCTGGGTGAGCTGAGTTTCCCCCCCAGCCCATCGCAGGAGGGCACCGCTCACCTTCTCGTGCTCGATCAGGTCGCCCTGCTTGCGGATGTTCTTCTTGGCCAGGTAGATGGCTGCAAGAGGAACGGCGGCACCTCAGAGGGGCTGGGAAAAGGGGCTGCAGCCCGTGTGGTGCCAGCAGCACGGTGGCACTTACCATAGTCCAGCTCCGTGGCCGGCCACTTGGTGCTGGTCCAGAAATAGGGGGTCTGCAGGGAGAGGGTCACATGCCGTGGGGTGCCACGGAGTCGAGCCCGGGGAGCCCCGACCTGCGGCGGTGCCCGCGGCGGGCAGGGCTGTACCTGGAAGCGGTAGGGAGACTCGTCCGCCCGCAGCACCAGGCTGCGGGGGTCTCTGAGCGGGTAGATGTAGCCGTGCTTCACGATGAGGTTGCCGAGGTGCAGCGCCTCTGGGGGAGCAGGAGTGGGGGCTGCAGGACAGCTCGGCAGCCCCGGTTGCCCCCGCAGTGCCAGCTGCCCGTGCCAGGGCACTCACCCTCCTCGGAGATGCCGTACTTCTGGATGAGCCACTCCACGATGTCGTTCCCTGGGGACCGAGGCAGCGTTAGTGGGGTGCAATGGGGTCCCCCAAGCTGGGCACGGGGAGGCTCCCGGCTGGGGCGCTTGGCACTCCATGGCAGTGCGAGGGGTCACGCAGGGTGACGGGGGCCCTGCCAAGGACGTGCGAGCGCCCGCCCCGCGCAGCCGATGCATAATTGATCCCAGCTGCAGCGCCGAGCACCCGCAAGTGCGGGGCGGGGAGCAGTGCGGGGTGCCGGGAGTGGGTGCTGGTGCAGTGCTGGGGACACCTGGGGAGCACCCCCACGCCTCCCCCACCCCACTCACCTCGCGGGGCATCCCATGGGGGGGACCCACCTGTCATGGCGTGGGGGATGACGGTGATGAGCAAGCGTTGGTTCCTCATCTTGATGCCCATGTCGGGGTCCTGCATGCTGACGATCATCCGCTCCATCTGCCGGGAAAGCACACGCCCTGCTCAGCCCCTCGACGGGGGCGCCGGGCCTGGGCACAGCCTGGCTCCCCCACACTGTAACCCGGGGCACCCTGGGACCTGGACACAGCCTGGCTCCCCACAACCGGACAGGAGCACCCTGTGCTCAGCCTAGGGTCAGCCTGGCACCCCGCAATTCCCCGGGGCACCTGTGCCCAGCCTGGGGACAGCCTGGCACGTCATAGCCAGACCAAGGCACCCGGCACCCAGAAGAGTGTGCGATGCTGGAGGTGCAGGCACCGATCTGAGCATCCCCGGCCAGGGGACCCCCGGTTTTCGGGAGTGAGCTCTGCTGAGGCTGTGGCAGCACCCCTGCTCTGCGAAGGGGAGCAGAACACGCAGCACCGGGGCTCTTCCCGTGGGTGTCCCTGCGCGGGGCGGTGCCCGGTGTCCCGTGGCGGTGCTGGAGCCAGGGTAGTGCCCGTTGTCCAGCGATGCACTGGGTGGTGCTGATCCCTGCTCCTCGGAGAGCCGATGCCTGTGCCCCGGTCCCCGATGCACCCGTTGCCCAGCGCACTGTCAGTGTCCGGTCCCCCCGGTGCCACCTCCCGGGCCCCGCACGGTCCCAGTGCTCGATCCCCACAGTCCCAGCGCCCGGTGCCCACGGTATTCACTCCCCACGGAGCCAGTGCTCGATCCCCACAGTCCCAGCGCCCGGTGCCCGCGGTACCCGCTCCCCGCGATGCCGGTGCCCTGCCCGGGCGCGGTGCCCGCTCTCCGCGGGGCGGGTGCCGCTATCGGTGCCGGTGCCGCTCACCTTGCGCAGACAGGGCATCTGGAGGCGGGGGTGCCGGCCGCGGGGGCCGCCGATGGTCATCGCGGGTGCTCGCCCCGCGGCCGCACCGCTCCGCCCGAGCCCGCCCCGGTCCCGCCCGGCCCCGCCCGGTCCCGCCCCACTGCCCCCCCCGCGGCTGCCGCCGCCAGCACCGGGCACCCTGACGGGCACCCCGGTCCGGGGCGCACCCGGAGCCCTGTCCCCGAGGCCTGGGAGCGGTCCCCGCCTTGCCCGTGGGACCCCCGGCCCGACCCGCGGGCCCGACCCCCGCTCAGCTCCCGCCCCGCCGCTTTGCCGGCCCGGTCTGTCCCGGGGCCCCAGGGGTGCCCCGGCTGACCCGGTGCTGGCGAGAACACATCCCTGTGGCTTTTGGGATGGCGGTGCGGGCGGGGCGCGGGCAGTGCACTGAGAGTGCGGGCAGGATGCTCGCGGGGTGCGGACAGCTCGGACAATGTGCTGGCGGCGTGCGGGGCTGCGGGCAGGGCGGGCAGGTGGTGGACGCTGTGGACATGGTGCTCGCAGGATGCGGGCAGTGCCGGCAGGGTGCCGGCAGGGCGCTGAGGGTACAGGCAGGATGGTCGCGGGTTGCGGGAGGGTGCGGGCAGTGCACCGAGAGTAAAACCAGGATGATGGCGGGGTGCGGGCAGTGCACCGAAGGCACAGGCAGGATGCTCGCGGGGTGCGGGCAGGGTGCGGGCGGTGCACTGAGGGTACAAAACAGGATGCTCGCGGGTTGCGGGGGGGCGCGGGCAGTGCACTGAGGGTGCAGGAGGGATGCTCGGGGGGTGCGGGCAGCGCGGGGCGGGCGCGCCCGGCGATGAGCTCACTGCAGTCTCGCCGCCCACGAGCGGCGGGGCTGGAGCCGCCGAGGGGCGGGGGCGGGCGGGGGCGGGCAGCGGAGCCGCCGCGTCTGCGGGAGCCGCCGCCGCCGCCCCGCCGGGCCGCGCCGGGCAGCGCCGGGGAGCGCAGCGGGGAGCGCGGGGGAGCAGCGGCACCGCCGAGCGCGGCGGCAGCGGGCGGGAGGAGCCGCCGGCACCGGCACAGCCGCGCCCCGGGCCTCGCCAGCGGCCGCCTCGCCTGGCCCCGGGGGCGGCGGGCCCGGCCCGGCCCGGCCATGCTCGGCCTGGACGTGTGCGAGGCCGGCGGGCAGCTGCTGGAGCTGCTCTGGCTGGCGCTGTGTTACCGAGGTGAGCGGCGGCGGCCGGGGGGCAGCGCCCGGGGGCGGGGGGGGCATTGCCCTGGGGAGGGCGGGCGAGCATCACTCCGGGTCCCCCCAACAGGTGAGCATCCCCCGGGCACCAGGTGCATCACCCCGGGCCCGAGGGGACCGGAGAGTCCCACGGGGGAGCTCCCTGCCGTCCCCCTGCCTGGGGCACCCCCCGCATCCCACCCCACCCTGCCCTGCCACCCGTGGGGAGCCGGCCAGCCCCCGGGTGGGTTCACCCCTGGGTTGGGAGCCCCCGCGCGCTGCCGCGACAGTCGAGGGCAGCCGTGGTGGGGGGCCCAGAAGTGCAGCAGGGCCACTGCTCTGTGTCCCTGTCACTGCTGCTGCATTGGGGACCAGCAACCCTGTGGCCTCAGGGCTGAGCACGGTGGCCCCTGCCCCATGCTATGTCCCCAGCGTGTCCCCAGGGATGGGGTTCTGGAGGCTCTGGGGAGCTCAATGCTTGCAGTCACAAGGAGTGGGGGTGATGCAGTGGACAAGGAGAGCCAGGGGCTGCAGTGACATCACCCACCCTTGTGCCCCCCAGCAGCCTGGCAGCACTGGAGCCACCGTTTGCCCCAGAGATGCCTTTTTGCCCTGCAGCTGCCAGCGGTTTGGGTTTGGGGTGGGAGATGGGGCTGCTGACTGCCCAGTAGGGTTGGAGGTGGCCTTAGGGTGGTGACAAGGACCTCTCTGTGTGACACTGAAGGGGCCTGTGCGCTGCAAGGGTCTGCAGGCACCCCCTGCACTGAGCACACCACGTAGGCACCAGCTCGTTTTGCTCCATGACCGTGCGGAAATGCAGCCGGCGGCAACACCTCTGGTCTCAGCTGTGCCATCAGGCCCTGGGGACACCGAGCCTGGCGCTGTCCCCTCTGCTCCGAGCAGGGGAACAGCTCCTCTGCCCTACGGGGATTGCCCACATCCATCCGTGGCGTGTCACAGCTCAGCCACCCCCCGCCCGCCAGCGCCTTTTTGTCAGGGCATGGGGGGAGTCCCCCGGGGTGTCCCCGGGGCTGCCACTGCCTGTCCCCCGCAGACATCATGGCTGACAAGGAGGGGGTGACGCTGTCGCTGGAGGAGGAGGAGGAGGATGCCGACGTGGCCCTGGCGTACAAGACGCCGGAGAAGAAGAGCCTGCGGGAGATCCAGGAGCTGGACCCAGGGGACGAGAGCCTGCGGAAGTACAAGCAGGCGCTGCTGGGTGCCATCCCTGTCGCCGTGGGTAAGGCGGGGAGCTGCTCCTGGGGGTGTGCACCCTGGCACTCCGGACCCCCAACACCCCGGCACCCCAACACCCCGACACCCCGGCACCCCGGCTGGTTGATGCAGGGAACTCGGGAATGCCCAGCACCCGCGGGGCATCCCCAGTGGGGAGGACACATCCCGGCCGGCATCGCCCGTGGGCGCTGCCTGTGCCCCCCGCCGGCGCAGAGACCCCGGCATCCCCTGCCGACAGGGTACCGGTGCCCGGGGACCCCGGTTGCCTTGGTTACGGGATCACCGCCGCAGTTTCCATAGGAACGGCTACAGGGAACCGGGAAATTCATGGCGATGACGGAGAGGAACGAGCAGCCGGGGGGCCGGGGTAGCACGGCTGCCGGTGCCCAGACGGTGCCCCCTGCTCTCCACGGCACCCACGGCAGCCCCCCAGCCTGGTGTTGGCCTGGTCTGGGGGTGCTCCACGGGCCCAGCACCCCGGTGGGCATCTGTGGGTGCATGGGGGGCTGCAGGCTGGGTGGGAGGTCCATGCAAACCAGCGGGGTGTGTGAGAGGTGCACGATGGGGTGTGAGAGTGTGAGCTGGGGGGTGTGCAGGCTGGTGGGGTGCAGGTAACTCAGACCAGTCCCCACCCCAAGGGATGCCTTTGCTGCACATGCTGCATCCTCCTCCTCTGCCTCTGTCCTGCTCCTGAGCCAGGGAATGGTGCACCCAGGGACATACCCATGTCTGGGTCCTTTAAACATGATTTTACTCCAACAGCACTGATGCCAGTGTTGGGGTGACCCGAGATGCCCTGTTCTCCTGTGCCCTGCCTGGCTGCCCAACTCTCCTGGTTCTAACACCCCGCCAGGGACACTGTGGCCCTTCCTGCTGTTACAGAAGCATGAACAGCCCCTCAGCTCACTGGGGTGGAGGTGTCAGTGGGCTGGCATGGGGGGTAAGGCCTGGGCCCTGCTGTTTGTCCCTAGATGCCAGCGTGCCCAACGTGCAGGTGACAAGGCTGACCCTGATGTGTGAGCAGGCGCCAGGGCCCATCACCATGGACCTGACAGGTGAGCTGTGGGGACACCAGTGGGAGGAGGAGGAGGAGAAGGAGGAGGAAGGGGTACCAGGCTGATGAACCATCTCCCCACACAGGAGACCTGGAGGGGCTGCGGGGCAGGGCCTTTGTGCTGAAGGAAGGGGTGGACTACAGGGTGAAGGTGTCCTTCAAGGTGAGCCTGGGGTTTGATGCCCTGTGCCCTCTGGCTGGGCATGGCCCTGCTGCCCTCACACCCCGGGATCCCTGCCCCAAGAGGTCCCTGTGCCATGGGTCCCTGCCCTCACACCCCGGGGTCCCTGCCTGATGGAGTCCTTCATGAGGTCCACGCTCCCCATGGGTCCCTTTTCCCACATGTCCCTGCCCCAAAGGATCCCCCCAAAGGGCCCCTGCCCTCCCACCCTGGATACCCTACCCCGAGGGGTCCCTGCTCCCCATGGTCCCTTTTCCCACACGTTCCTACCCCACAGGGTCCCTCCTGCTGCCCATGGGTCCCTGCCTGCTCCAGGGTCCCTGCCATTTGGGGTCCCTGCTGCCTTAGGGTGTCTGCTTCCCACCCCTTACCCATAGAGTCCATGCCCCTCTGAGGGTCTCTGCCCACCCTGAAGTTCCTGCCCTCCTGTGTCCCTGCCACCCTGGGAATCCTTGCTGTCCCCAGTGTGACTGCCACCCTCGGGTCCTTGCCTCTCTTGAGGGTTCCTGCCAGCCCAGAGTCCTTGCTCTTCCCAGAGGTCCCACTGATGTTGGGTCCCTGACTATCCCAGGGGTCCCTGGAGGTCCCTGCCCCTCCTGAGGCGGGATCCACGACACCCCTGCCCCTCCTGGGGGTACCTGTGCCCCCGATGCTCCTCAGTGCCCACTCCTGACAAGGAGCTGGATCCCAGAAGTGGTGGATATCAGGATGGGTGCCCAAGAACGGCACCCGTGGCACCCGTGCCCTCTGCCCGCAGGTGAACAGGGAGATCGTCTGCGGGCTGCGGTGCCTGCACCTCACCTACCGCCGGGGCCGGCCCGGTGAGTGGGGCCGGGGGGCCGGGCCGGGGGGGGCAGGTATGGGGGGGAGGGCAGTGCCGTCCTGGCCCCACTCACCCATCCCTACTCTACCCTTCTCACCCAGTGGATCGCGACGTCTTCATGGTGGGCAGCTACGCGCCGCGGGCCGAGGAGTACGAGGTGGTGACGCCGGCGGAGGAGGCGCCGCGGGGATGGCTGGCACGGGGCTCCTACCGCGTCCGCTCCCTCGTCACCGACGACGACAAGACGGAGCACCTCTCCTGGGAGTGGGGCCTCTGCATAAAGAAGGACTGGGAGGACTGACCCCCCCTCCGCACCCCGGCTCCTCCCGCCAGCTCGGGGACGCGGTGCCGCCACCCCGGGGGACCCCTCGCCGGCACCGCCGCGCTTGCCCCAGTCGCGTGAAGGGTTGAGGGGGGGGGTCCCTTAGCGAGTGGGCGCCCGTGGTCGTGGTCTTCGCAACCAAAGTTATTTTTAATTGCTCTTTTTTTTTTTTTAAAAATCTCGACGCCCGCCTGGTCCTCACGGCGTCCCCGTTGCTGGGGCCGGGGCTGTGACCCCGCCGCGGTGGTGCCGTGCCCGGTACCCGCCCGGTCGCAGGCTGTGCTCTTCCATCGCCATTAAACCCTACAGACTGGTCTCTTACTGGTGTGTCTGTGCCCCCGTCACCTCTGCCCGTCCCTCCGCTCCCTGTCTCCCCCTGTTCCCGTCCCCATCCCACTGGCAGGGCCGGGTCTCCCTGCGGTGACGAGTGGCTGGAAAACGGCCACCTGGTCCCACTGCCTTATCGGCCGTGCCGGGCAGCCAGTAGCGGAGGGCCACGAGCCCCAGGGGACCGGCACCTCCCGCCCCAGGGCTCTTATCTGCGTCCTGCCCCCTGGACAACGTCTGCTGCACCGGCACCATGCGGGGCTGCGGGTCCCGGCTGGTTTGGCTGCTGGTGCTGTCGCTGGCCTGGCTGGGCCCGGCACTGGGGGACGAGGAGAAGGATGGGGAGGTGGTGGCAGAGGAGGAAAAGGAGAAGGAAAAGGATGAAGTGCTCTCAGATGAGATCAAGGAGGAGGACAACGTCCTGGTGCTCCATGAGCACAACTTTGCCCGTGCCTTGAGTGAGCACCAGCTGCTGCTGGTGGAGTTCTGTGAGTGTTCCCACTGCGGGCAGGGGTGTGGGCAGGGGCAGATGTTGGGCAGGGAATAGGGGCAGGGGATACTGGCCATGGCTGTGAGTGTGGGCAGAACAGACATATGGGCACTGGGGAGGAGGGGGGGATAGGCAGGCAAGGCTGTGGGCCAGAGGGGGAGGACGTGACGTGGCATGGGATGGGGACAGAGACATGGAGCAGGGACACAGGCAGAGGCAGGGGCTGGGGAACAAGTAGCAGGGGCTTGGCACACAGGACAGGGACACATGGTGGGGCTGGGAGCATGGGCCCTGGAACAGGGGCATGAGCTGGGGCCCAATGGGCTCATGTAACCATTACAAGCCCACCCTGGGGACAGGGGACACCCCAAAGCTGTCCCCACCGCCAACACCATCCCCTGCCCGCAGACGCACCGTGGTGTGGGCACTGCCAGCAGTTGGCCCCCGCCTACAACCAGGCGGCCACCCAGCTGAGGAACGAGTCCAGCCCTGCACGGCTGGGCAAGGTGGATGCCACGGCACAGACAGCCCTGGCCAACGAGTTCAACATCACCTCCTACCCCACGCTCAAGCTCTTCCGCGATGGCAACCGCACCCACCCCCTCCCCTACACCGGTAGGGCTGCGGCACCGCAGGGTGGCCGTGGCACCCAACAAGGGGACACTGCCATGGGGCTGGGGAGGGTGGCAGGGTGGTGATGGCCAGAGGGGTGGTGATGTCCTGGTGGAGGTCACAGGGTGGTGATGGCGAGATGGGTGGCAAAGTCCTGATGGGGTTTGTAGCACTGTGGCAGTGGGCAGGTGACTGTGTGGTGATGCTGTGTGAGGTGGGTGATGCCGGGCAGTGCCGTGGTGCTGGTGGCAGGTGGCCAAGGCTGCGTGGCCCAGGGAGGGGTGGCAGCCCGGTGAGGGGTGTCAGGGTGACAGCACCGGCTCTGCTTGGCACGGCAGGAATCATGGACGCGCAGGGCATTGTGCGCTGGGTGCAGCGCCGGGCCGGCCCCAGTGCCACGCTGCTGCACGACACCGACACCGCCAGCGCCTTCGCCAACTCCCAGGACTTGGTGGTCATCGGCTTCTTCAAGGTGGGCTGGGGCGGGCGGGGCTGGGCTGGGGCCGCAGCCATGGCTGTGGCTGTGGCACTGATGCAGGGACTGTGCAGGACCTGAAGGGCAAGGCAGCCCAGGCGTTCTACGAGGTGGCTGTTGAGATGGTGGACATGCCGTTTGGGGTGGCGGAGGCGGCTGAGCTCTTCCAGGCCTATGGGCTGTCGGCTGACACCGTCTGTCTCTTCAAGAAGGTGAGGGGGTGGCAGAGGGTGGTGGGGCTGTCCTGGTCCCCACCCCAGCCCTCACCAGCCCCTGCCTTGACAGTTTGATGAGAGACAAACAAACTTCCCCGTGGACCCGGCGCGGGGGCTGGACACGGCCGAGCTCACCCGCCTGCTCCGCGTCCACAGCCTGAGGCTGGTGACGGAATTCAACAATGAGGTACAACCTGTGCCCATCCCCATCTCTGTCTGCGAGTGCCATAGCCCCCTGCCTTCACCCTCCTCCTCCTCCTCCTCCTCAGACATCCAACCAGATCTTCAGTGCCAAGATTCCTCACCACATGCTACTCTTCCTCAACAAGTCCTCATCGGAGCAGCTGTCCCTGCAGGATGGCTTCAGGGCAGCCGCCAGCACCTTCCGGGGCGAGGTGAGGTGGTCCCAAGGCAGGGACAAGGGGGGTGACTGTGGGACACCCCATCCTCAGGGTCACCCATGCCCTGCCCAGGTGCTCTTCGTGGTGGTGGATGTGAACGGGTACGGCGCCGACGTCCTGTCCTTCTTTGGCATGACCCCCGCCGACGCCCCCACCCTGCGCCTCGTCAAGATGGAGAACAACCGCAAGTACCAGATGGAGCAGGACTCCTTCTCGGACATGGCCATCCGCACCTTCATCCAGGCCGTGCTGGACGGCAAGGTGAAGGTGAGGGAGGCGGCAGGTGCCAGCAGCACCTGAGGATTCTTCCCTGTGGTGAGCGGTGGGCTGGTGACTCCGAGGCCTAATGATGGCAGAAGTGCTGGGAACACCAGCCCCCTGCTTGCTGCTCCTTCTGCTGCCAGGCTTGAGGGTTTTGGGGGGTTGGTTGGGGAAAGGAGGCGGGAGATTGCTGATGTGGAGACACGCAGAGCTGGGATGGCAGCAGAGGGCCCAACAGGCAGTACAGGCGCACCCCTGGCTGCGTGCTGGGGCACCCCTACCCCACGCTGTGCCCCTTGGGGCCCTGGCACTGCCCGGCCCAGGCCGTGGCTGTCCCGACTGTCCCCACAGCCCCGCCTGCTGAGCGCCGAACCCCCTGAGGACTGGGACACACGCCCTGTCAAAGTCCTGGTGGGGAAGACCTTCGAGCAGGTGGCGTTCGACGAGACCAAGAACGTCTTTGTCAAGTTCTGTAAGTGCTCAGCCCCTCCACGACGACCCCCAGCCCTGTCACAGACCCTCACCTGGGGGATGCTGCAGAGCCCCAATCCCCCAGTGCATCCCCTGGCACTGTGCCCGTCCCGCAGACGCTCCGTGGTGCTCCCACTGCCAGGCCATGGCCCCCGCCTGGGAGGAGCTGGGCGAGCGCTACAAGGACCGCGAGGACATTGTCATCGCCGAGATGGATGCCACGGCCAACGAGCTGGAGAACATCACCATCCACGGCTTCCCCACCATGCACTACTTCCCCGCAGGGCCGGGCAGGAAGGTATGAGGGGGAACACCCCTGGGGTCACCTCGGCCCTGCCAGCACACGAGGAATGGGGTCACCCCCAGCCACCCTCCTATCCCATGGTTCCAGATGATCGAGTACAAGAGTGCCCGAGATGTGGAGACTTTCTCCAAGTTCCTGGAAAATGGGGGGATGCTGCCTGTGGAGCCTCCTGTGGTGAGTGGGACTGCCCCCCCCCCCCCCACTCCAGGGCAGCCCCCAGGGGCGAGGGGACGGATCCTGTGGGATTGTGATGGGGACAGGGGCAGGTAGGGACTCAGTGTCCATCCATGCCTCACTGATGCCTTTCCCAGGTGACCAAGACCCCTGGGAACAGCACAGGCAAGGAGGATCCAAGTGTGCTGGGGACAGATGAAACCCGGGATGAGCTGTGAGCCCTTTCCTGCTCAGGCATGTGCTATAAACCACCTGGAAACCACGAGGGCTCTGGTCTGTTTGCGGCTCCATGTCTTGGGGAGCATCCATGTGTCTTGGGGGCACAGCAGGGCTGACAATGGGTAGGGACCCGCTACTGCTTGACCCTGGGCCCCCAAGGAGGGGGTGCTGCCAGGGGCCCTCTGCCTCCCTGGGGCAGCTGTGCCATAACACTCACCCTGGCAGCCCCATGATGGCACAGGTTGGCCAAGGACATGGCTGTGGGGGCAGCCCCAGTGCTCTCCATGCTGGCCTTGTGCTGGGCTGCTGGGGCTCAGGTGATAGGGGACCAGTCAGGGTCTCTCCTTCAGGGCCCACCAGCCCCAGGGGATCCCCAGGAGTTGCTGTCACAGCCAAGGAAGGCAAGAAGAGCCCAACACGGGGCTCCACAGTCTCCCCTCAAGTCTGGCTCACAGCTTCTGGGACCCCCAGCATCCTCTACAAACTCCAGCACCATCCCCCCTCCCCTGGGCTATCCCTCAGGGGCAACATGTTGGTCCCCTGGGGCCAGGACCTGCCCAGCCACCCCTCCAGGGAGCCCAGGGCATCACGTGCCCAGAGTCTTTGCCAGACCTGTGCCATCCTGTGTCCCTCCCAGAAGCTGCTGGGGGCCCAGGTGTAGCTCCGCAGGGAAGGAAGAAAGCAGCAGGCAGTGGGACGTGGGGTTTTATTTCATTTTATCCAAGTACCTTTGAAAAGATCATTGTACAAGTCAGCACATGAGAATGCAGAGGAAACGTCGCTGGGGCTGCACGGCCGCTGTACATATTTACAGGGACCCCCGAGAAAAAAGGGGGAGACGGAAATCCCGGGCACGTTAACAACCTCACCAGACACACCACCATCAGAACTTCAAAAAGCGGGGAGCAAACCCCCTCGAAGCGCTGTTCCCGGGCTGAAAACATCTGCAGAGTTTGATGGACCTCACGTAGCGTTTTAGGCAAGTCCCAGGACCGTGTTTTAAAGGCACTCGGTGACATGAACAACAGGCTGAGTGGCGTCCCGGCGCGGTGCCACGGCGTGCCCGGCAGCCCCAGCGCTGCTGTGGGTGAGAGCAGTGCTGGGCAGGGCGAGCACTGATGTGGAAACCCCCGGCTTTGGGGTCACCCTCGTTTCTGTGGGTGGGCAAAGGGTGGAGCTGGCACAGAGTGGCAGCAGGGCCCGGGCTGGGGACAGGCAGGGTGGTGGGAGCACCGGCACAGCCCAGGCTTCCCTGCAACCGAGTAAGGCCAGGAGGCTTCCCAGGGTTCTGGCTGCCCACTGGGTGATCTGGCCCTAAGTGAGCCCCACACACTGGCATCAATAACCCCCCTGGTGCAGTGCCCTCCTGTTG